AGCAGCCCGGAAGAGTTCGCTGCTTCTTCCTGCGCCTTGAATTAAAAAGGACGCCGTCGTATAGACTGATGGACTGAATGTGGACGCAGCCCGCAGTGCCTCCGCAGGGTTCCCATGAGTGGGTTCCTGATAACTGATAACTGAACTGAACTAGTTTCTGAACTGAAATGTTTCCTCATGTGTTTCTTTAAGAGAACATTTTGTGTTTAAAGATTTTTCTGTAATAACTTTATACTCAGTAAGATCATTGAGATCCTGAGACCTGCTCTGTTCTCTGTAAAATGACTGTTATAAAGTCTCGTTATACTTTGAAAACACATTAAAGAGTGTTGAGCTACTACATGGAGCTCTCAGGAACATTTTGATACCAACAGTAACTCCAGTTAGTGAACCTCCACACTTGTGTGGGATGTGTTGAAAGCTCAGAAAGAGCTAGTAAGTGGGTTTTTATCATTTACATCAAACTAATGAACTCCTATGTTCACTTTAATATTTATCAATTAGCCAAATGACAGTTTACAGCAGCCATTTGGATAAACTAATTTTTCAAGCAGAAATGAGGATCATTTGACTGTTGGTAAGCGTTTGCAATCTGTAATGTAAAAAGTATTCTGCCGATCATTGGCTCTAATTTAAACATTTCCCAGGTATTACATTGTACCTGGAAATACCTGATTGTACTTATTAGTTTAGTGCAGAATAAAGTCAGTCCGTAAAAATATTGATAGGCAAATATTTTGATGATCGTTGGATTTGAAAACTTGTGACTGCTCAATGTAGACTTGTGGTTGTCATCACCAGAGTGACATTCCCCTTAAACCCTCTTTCATCAGAGGGAAAACTGAACAAAAAATCCACAATAAAAACATAAAATGTATCGTGATTCACTGGAGAGTTTGGAATCACTGGGTTAAGTCATTGATCAGCAGAAACTGGTTTTGTTTTAAAGCTTTTTAAGTTAAATATCCTGTTTTTGTTCTGCAGGTTGGACAAAAAAATGATAATCTTTAACAGAATCAGATATATTAGCTTTTCACTAACAAAGAAATGCATCTTGTGCATTTGTTTAGAAAGTGTCAAATTATTACCTTAATACTTAATTATTAGAAATTATTAGGTTCATCTTTAAAATCTCCCACAAATGCAAATTTATATTGTAATAAACTTACAATGAGTATTTTTCCATTTCCTCACATGACAGACTGACAGCTTAATCAGTAATTAAAATGAATATTAGCTGAAGCCCTGCACTGCCCAGAAACATCATCACCTGGGTTTTAATGTGGGTTTAAGTCCACTTCAGACTCGTGATTTAGGATTAAACTGACCTCTGCACAATAAAACACAGTTTGGAGACGGGAGACAAGACTTGAGCTCCGGGCGTCATGCAGCATCCAGACAGGAACCTTCATCATTTGTCATTTTTAATATAAATCTTTTTCACCCTCACACAAATTGCACTTTTTTTTTTCTCCAAATGGACACACAGTCAGCAGTGGACAACTTACTGGTTGACATCTTCCTTAAACACCGTGAACTGGCTAAAAGAAGGAGAAACAAAAAGAATAAAATAAGAGACATCTAACTTGATCTTACCACCACTTTACTATGGCATGCATAGGTTTCAGACCTTACTCAGAAAGAGACAACAGACACTTTGTCTAAGAAGTTTTCTAAACGATGCCGTGACTGCTTGCGATCCGAAAACAAAAACCAAAAAGAAGAAGAAACAAACCGAAGGTACAGAAAAGCTCGGTTCCACCGTGAGGGGAGAAGTCACCTCCGGACCTCTGGGGGAAAACTAGAGGAAAAGATGGATGTGGTGTCTTTGCGAAAGCCTCGGCGTTCCTGTTTCTCTGCAGGTGGCGAGCACGAACACACAGGCTTCAAACACACAGCTGCGATGTCGTCTTCCTAAAGTATTTGGTTCTTTATTAAATGTGATGCCACAGTGCAGTCGACAATACTGAATGTTTTTTATGGTTTTTCTGGTTTTATTGTCCCCGACGATTCTTTAAGCACTAAAAAAAAAAAACCTAATGGGTAGAGGAAGCTCGCCTCTGAGGGATGATGGGTAGTTGGAGACACGCGGACTTGAGGGCTTTTCATACCTGAATGCTAATTCAACAGCAGCTTTAGAAATTATAACTAGACAGCAAAATGCTACCAGGGAGCAACGCGGAGGCGACTGAAGGTAGTTCTGGGTCGACAGTGATTATCGGCCTAACTGAAAACGAGCAAAGAAAATGACTTCACTTCCGCTACTAAACCTTAAAGCAAACTGAAATTAAAATTCTTTGTTGAAGAAATCAGCTTTCGGTCAGGATTTTAATTACACTGTAAAAACTGATTGTTGAAACTGACTTCATTTAAAGTAAAACTAACTCAATTTTGGAAGTTATAAAAAGATTCTTGATTAAGTAGCTTTAATAATTTTAAGTGACACTGACTTAATTTTGTCATTTTTATTTGTACTGTGAAAACAAAACATCGAGTAAAAAGTATTTAACCAAGAATGTTTAACATACAAAACTGAGTTTGTGTTGCTTAACATGTTTAATGTAATCAGTTTCAACTATTTTTTTTAAGTTTAAATAACTCATTACATTACAGTGTAACCAAAAGAAGAAAGTAATGCTGCAATCAAAGCGTCCTCTACTTCTCCAAGGGGGATTTGTACCGACTACGGATGTCGGTACTTGTAATTTGTACAATTGCTTCATAACAGATAACAGGGCAGTTTAACAGCTGGGGACTGATGTTTAACAGCTGGGGACTGATGTCAGGGTGTCTGTACCCACGTTGGAAACCACTGGACAAAGTAACAGCTGAGTGAAAGACAGGCCAATTTTTTGACAAAGCTAATAAAAATCAGAAAAAAGTCTTACGAATGTTTTGGACCACTGGCTTAGTCCCATGTAAGATTTGGACATTCCCTACATTACTCTGTACATTAGTTACTCTGTGAGATCTCGCAGTTAAATAAGTGCCGTGGCTACAAGACTACTTTGACAGTGTGCTCATTTAGCATTTTACCATTGCCACTTCTGGAACCATGAAGGAGGGACAGCTAATGCTAGCAAGAAGCTCCTCCTTTGCTTAATACGAGACGAACACAACACTGAGTGACTCGCAAACCCAAACCGTGAAACAAAAGTTACGTTCTAGTGGGAATCAGTGCCAACATGAGCAACTAGCTTCCACAATCTTTTAGTGTTTCGAAAAAATATTTTTATCCTTTTCCGAAAAACAAAACAAAACAAAGTGAACTGTAAAAAATTGAAGAATTTAAATTTCAGTTTGACTTTAAATCAAATGCAGAGCTTGTTTAGCACCTCAGTTTCGCTGTTGCTTGTTTTTCTGGTCTGAGTTCAATTCTGAAAAGCCCGTCGCTGTGCTGCAAAACAAAAACAAAAGTCCACCTGTAATCGGGGCCCGGGGTCGGCCGGCTGCTCGGTTGGACCTTCTTATTCTAAACCGAGGAGGAACAAAGGGACATTTTGGCTCCTGAGTTCTTTGTGGGTTAGGGTTAGCATAGACATCGATACGAAAATAAAGATTAACAATGTTTGCATCAAACCTGCTGTGCAGCTGGGGGGTTTGGGGGGGGGGGGGTAACAAGTAAAACTGGGTCAGATCCTCGCAGGGTTCCTACACATGGTTTCCAGTTCAAAGAATTCCAGACTTTGTCCAGAAGTGTTTGATATTCTTTCCCATTAACTGCCAAATGTAGCTCGACTGCAGTAAGTACCACCATGTGTGAAGTTAACGTTCTAAAACTCAGTTTCAGGACTTAAGAGCGGTTATGGTTTCCTAAAATCTTACAGACCCGGAAATGGTCGAACAGACGACCTGCGTAGGAACCCTGGAGTCAACAAAACAGGAAACATAAAAACTTGTACAGACTAGAAACAACCAGCACGCGTCAGGAGTCACTGGTGTCAGTACAAAGCATTAAAGATTGTTTTTTTTTTTTTTTTTTCAATGATTTCCTTTCATTTGATAACTAAATATCTCACTCTATTGATATAATTCCATTTTGTTAAATTCATATATAAACGTTAACATGTACACACGCTCGTCACTGGTAATCGGTGGAATCGGGACCTTTATTATAATAAGTTGGTGGAACTTGCTCTTGCTGGCGCTCAACAAATATACTGTGAATGCAAGTAACAATAATTAATATAATGATAATTAGAATAATAATAATAATAATAATCATCGTCATCTGCACCATGCCTTGTAAACCTGGAAAAACTAAAAACAAAACAAGAGCCAGGTAACCACCCCTCCCCAGTCCCC